ACGGAGCAGCTTTTCTCGCCCCGGGAGGACGCAGGCGGCAAGACTGTGGCGCGTCTGGGTGGTCCCGCCGCCCCCGTCCTCCGGGGCGAGAAAAGCCCCGTTCGTAAGTACAGACCCAACGTAAGTCGGATCCACGTAACCCGGGGACTGCCTGTAGTTTAGTTCAAATACATGGGTCATGGATCTGCCCATACCCCCTTGTGACTGTCAAAATTCCTAATCATCCTGAATCTGAACATATGCGTCACCCCCAAGGGAGACCCTGTTGCGTTTTATTTGGATTTCAACCTTCCCAACAGGAGGAAACTGCATTTTTGTAATTAGATGTGGACAACTGAGCTGGCAGAAGCTACCTCATTTGATCCCTGTTACAACAGTGATGTTTCTACCAAACATACATGCAGTCCCACAAGCCACAGAGGCTTTGATTAGAACTTCTGGAGGAAAGCTAGCCAACATTCAAGTACATTTTAGACTTTTCACCCATCATGCTTTTACAGTCAATGGTTTGGTATAACTGGGCTCATTTCTTGCACTGACAGCTTCTGTTCCTCCTGCACAAACCATATGATAGGGAAAGTGATGCAAGTTATAAAGGGTACAACTTCATCCTGAAATAGATATGATAGACAGGCCCGGGGAACGCAAAAGGTTAAGTATTCAGGTAAATGTCAGTGGCCTCGAGATGAAATAAAATCTAAATAGGAATGTATACCCTGAAGCAAGTGCACATAGTCTGTAAAAGGAGCAAAAGGAGTGCCAGGAAAGTAGCAGCCATTTTTAGATTATATGTAGGAATGCAGGCAAACTCAGAGGATTTACAATCAAGTTCTCAAGAGTATGTAAACCAGGCACGGGGAACCTAAGGCTTGCCTGGCTTTGGCTCCAGCAGCTCGGGGCTCCCTCAGCATCGGGGAGCCCACAGGGCTGGAACACACAAGATCTACTAGCCTGGACGCAACTGATTTTTCTACAGTTCAGCGGCCTGACCCAAAACGGGTTCCCCGCCCCAATGTAAACTTTGTGAACCTCGGGTCTTGGGAGTAACTCCAATCACACAAGGCGTCATGCTGGTATAGGAACTGAGGTATATAAGCCAGTGAATACTCCCAACACCATAACATGGGCGAGTCCCTGGAAGAGCTGATGCATTAGTGTGGGGAGGAGTTAAAGTTGAAGAACTGCCAGTTTTG